TTCGGCGTTGATTAGATGACGCTTCAAACTCCATTTTGCAAAAACAAAGTTTCCGGACCAGTTAAAGGTACACTAACGGCTCGTTGGTTTGGTTACCGGCCGGTAACTGTCCGAGGAATAGGAAACAGGGTTACGGTAGGTGCTCGCCGCGGAGCAAAACCGAACCCGCGCCACTCGCCTGGGGCAAGCGCCAAAGACCGATAGGCGATGGGACAGACGGGACAGGGGACAGGGAAGGGGTAAGAAGGGTCCGGGCATTCCGCGGCAGAGGACCCCGATTTCTGATCGCGAACTGACTTTTTGCACCAGATTTTAGTGTACCTTTAAGCTAAGTCTGAGCCTGACCACTGAGTGAGTAACTTCTTTGAAGCCACACCCAAGGGTAGCACAAGCCAAGTTAAGCCTGGCTGTAAGCTAAACCCTAATGGCACCTATTTGAATTTTTACGGAGATTCCAAGTTAAGCTAAGCCTGGGCTTGTGCCTTGGTCGAAGTCTAGTGGAAAAGTATTTTGCTAATGGTAAGCTTAATAAAGTAAAGTTAAGCCTGTGCTAAAAATCATGTAGCTGAAACGGAGTGCCTCGTAGCCTCTGTGTCAAGACGGGCCCGCAAATCGGTCAAAATCGCGATTTTCGGGAATTCGAATTCGTCATTCGAAAAATCCCGAGCCTCAGGAATTCGCTACCTCGTATCGACAGCCGCTTTGCCAAATTTGAAGAAAGAAAAAAGAAACGAAAATAAACACTTTACGGTGAGCAGTTTTGTGTAGTAAATGGGCAGACACCAACAGTGTATCACGTCATTCTCGGCTTGCGAGTGAATGTTGGGCAGGCCGGCGTCAAGGCCTTTGCAGATTTCGAACGCCTTGTCGTAGTCGGCGAGGCCGTCGACGCGCTTCAAGCCACATGGATTTTTAGGCAATCGCGAATCTCACCTTGTAACACTGATCAGTGCCTTTGCCCAGCGTCCACCCAGGTTCACAGCCCAACTAACAACGTTAGGTTTCTTTGTGACAATCGGGTTTCCGTACGGTACCGACTCAGACTTGTGTAAAATTTGCGCTGATTCCAAAGCGTTTTAAAAAAATACGAAACGACGAGACCAAAGAGGTTTAGAAGCCTTTGGTTGCGAAAACGACGGAATCGCCTCGAAATCAAGCCATTTTGTGACTTTTGTGCTCTTAAAAATTGCTACCAGCTCTGGTCTGGTCGTTTCGCAAATTTGAATACAGCTTCAGAATCAGCTCAAAATACTTCACAAGATGGACCAGGCCCCCTGTGGAAACCAAATTCCCATTAGAAAAGGCAATAATGCTTCGCGTGCTGAAACCCAAACCAAACCTCGGCGGCTACGGTAGCCACGGAGACCAAAAGTAAGAAGAATCCCTTTCCAACCATAGCTGATTGAAAGTGGGGGTCGGCAGTCACTGAAAATCTTTTTGTCGCGGCCCATGTTTTGACTTTTATGAGGCCTTTTTCCTCGGAGAAGAATCTTTCTGTTGCGCTTTGATCAAGGCAGGCGCGGGCGTCGGTTGTCTCATGAATTTTTCAAGGCGGTAGCTCCAGTGGGTTTAAACTCAATGAGAGGAGGTGATGAACAAGGCCGAGTGCTTGATGAAAAGGCTAATCATGAACTTCACCTGGTGGTACCTTCCTGAAGACCTTCCTACCTCATGAGTTGACATTGTTACCAGCTTATCGGCATCCCAACACCCGATGCTTTTACGACCAAAAACCAGAGTTCAGGTTATGCATTCAAAAGCTGCTCCCTGAATTGGAAATAACCGACTTTTTGAAGGCGTATAAGAAGCGCCAGTCAAGCCATGTAGCATTTCTGGCTTCCGGTGGGATGTTCACCCAATTTTCTATCACCCTGCTTCTCGCAGGTATCGTAGTTGCCGAGGTAGCCTTTTTGCCTTCGACGACCTTGTGCAGGTTCTCAACAAATTTTATTTAAAAACCAATCCCAACCCATGACGCGGAAAATTCTAGGACTGCGAAGCAGGATGGACACCCTACAAAGTCATGAACAGCTGTTATAAGGTGAAAATATTGGAATATCTTGGGCACGATTTTGTAGATGGTGAACGGGCAGACATTCTGGGATGCCGAGGCGGAGTGCGCGTTGGAAGGAGCCCATTTGACGTCGCTGATGAACGATGAAGAAAATCAGTTCATCGAGGGTGCGTAACCAGCTCCGCCTTGCAATACCTCCGGCCTTACCATTGCAAGTAGCGCCAGAAATCACTTTCAGAAGAACCCCATTGTCCCTTTATAGGAATGATGGCCGAGAAAATTCCTGGCCACAACGCGTGGATTGGCGGCTTATTGGTATAATTTAATTTTGCGGTGCTTATGCACTTGAAGGGGCAGTCGGGTTTTCGACTACAAGACGCTCCAAACATCGTTTTTAAACTCTAAGTCGCTGGAAAGGAAAAGCTAAGCCTAAGCCTAGGCTTTGCTTCATACCAACGAAGCCTAAGCCTAGTTGGGTCAAGCTAGGCATAGCTCTAAGCCCGAAATTACCTGATTTTTTCCTCGTAAGTCAAGTTAAATCTCAAGATAAGCTTAACTTGGGCTTAGGCTTAAGATTAAGCCGGAGCTATGCATAGTTAAAGCTACGTTAAGACTAGACTTAAGTGAAAAACCAAGTAGCTTAAGCGGATCACCTCATAACCTCTGACCACCAATTTTGGACTGCCCCCCAACTGCATGAGCACCGATTTAGCAAGCAAGATTTACGACGTAAGAAATATTAAGCGTGTTTTAGATGACGAGGGAGAAGACACAGATCCACTGGATGGACGGTACACCTGTTGACCCCGAGAATGTCATTTGGAACAAGGGCAACAAGCCAGACATCACAGAGCGGCGATTCTGCATACGCAAAACAGTAGGTTTGAGTTGGTTCTGAGGCGCCGAATCTTGGCGAGCAGCCGATCCGATGACCAATAGCTTTATTAGAGCAATGGGAGCCTGGAGCAAGAATTTTGTGATGAGCTGTACAAAGGGATCTGCAAGCGACCGGTCGGCCAGGTGGCACCGAAGCTAGAGACGCCAACTTGCGAGGAGGGTTGGGAGGGGTCGAAGTGGACTGGCAGTTGCTACAAGGTAGCTAATGGCTGTATCATGTGAATAAGGTTTAGCGTAAATTAATTCAGCGAATGAACTGTAAGCAGGGTTGGTCATTTTCGGATCGGACTGGATCCGGATCTGGATCTGGATCGGATCCGGATCCGGATCCGCCGTAGGATCCGGATCCGGATCCAGATCCAGGGCGGATCCGATCCGATCCGGATCCAAGGAAATGGATCATGCAAAGGAGTTAAGTGCTAATTCTTAGATGCAAAGATCAGTTCTGCCTCTGGGCTATGTATTTTTGCGATTAACATGACCGAATCCGCATCAGAATCGAGAATATTACTTCCGGTCTCTTTTTTCATCGGATCCGCATTGGATCCGGATCCGAGCGGATCTGGATCTGGATCTGGATCCGGATCCTACTGCGGATCCGATCCGGATCCGGATCCAGATCCGATCCGGATCCTTACCGATCCGGGTCCGTCGGTGAACAACCCTGACTGTAAGACATGTTTACGTCGGTGGGAACTTCCATTCCGGACTTAGCAGAATTTTTTCCTGATTCAGAATGATTCAGAATCAACTAGATCACTAATTCTCTATTGGCTGGATTAGCCCTTTAAAAAACCTTGCAACCAGCTACACATAGTTTTAATGACTACAAATCGTGCACAGCTGTCCAAATCCGAGAGTTGGCCAATTTAGTTGACGCCAGTTTCGAAAAGTGGCGCTGCTCGGGAGACTTGCCTGGGATGGGGTGCTGACCTGGCTTCCGCTCTCACTTTCCTCGAAAAAGAGTTCATTCTGGGTAGGCTACACGCAATAAATACATAGATGGAGGCTGGTAGGTTCGAAGAAGCAGGAACATTACGAAGTTGTTACATCAAGGATTTAGAAAAGGCCAAGGGCGCAAAAAACGAGGACACGTGGCTAGGGGCCAAACGGGTTCGTTTCGTGTTATATTAATAGCGATAATGGTTGAAACCCGTTTGATATGAAATACGGCACTTCTGAAAGTTTCTGATAGCGAAATCTTTCAAGGATTTTTGTTTGAGGGCGCCAACAATGACTTTGAATGGTTGGATGGGTCAAAATGGGAAAACGGATACTGGAGCTCCCTCGGGGTACCGTTGCGAAACGAAACAACGAAAAATTGCCTTGTGGTAAGCCTTTAGTGATGAAAAAACTTCCTTTTTCCGAGTACCGATGCTCCAATTATCCGGTTTTTATTTCAATAATATCGAAGGTTAAACTAGCGGGTTTCCCAGAAAAGCACCTCACCGATTCGGCCGTATTCCTATCCGCCCCAAAATCGGACAAGTGATGTATCAGACCGTAAACAACCTCAACCCTGAGTAAGTAGTAGTAATCCTGCCACCAAGAGTAATTTTCGAGATAAACAAAAAAATAGTTTTTTAAGGGGTTTTACAGGGATATTCATTGGAGTCAATCCTTAGAATATGAAGTGAAAACGATGAGGGGGAAAAGCCTCTTTCCCTTATCAAATATAGCCTTATTTAAACGGTTTTTATAAGCAAAAATCAACGTGAACCATAGGCAAAACAAGGGTTTCCAAGGGAAGTCGATGCAAATCGATGCCAAGTCCAAAAATAGCCGAAAAACTGCAA